CACACACACACACACACACACACACACACACACACACACACACATACACACACACACACACACACACACACACAAAACAGTCATGCCATTGGGTGTCCATGGCTGAGTGGGTGAGCAGAGTGGGTTTTATGACTGTGTCAAATTAGTTGCTCAGACTTACTGCCGTTCTTGTCAGGGATTTGGACCGGCTGTCCACTAGGATTACAAGGTTGGTGTTAGTACCCTTGACCATTTTTCTCAGGGGTATCGCTTACTCTAGGCGATGTGGTGAGTCTTTATCCATTAGTCAAATGCATCCTAGGCAGACTGTCGAGGTTCAAACTCCTGATGAGTCGGTGAAAGTCCGACAAAAGTCTGGCACAGGCATGCTTATTTTTATTGTATAGCGGATATGACAACACGCAAACACACCCCAAAAAAAAAAAAAAAAACAGAAGAAATTTCAAGGAAAAAAAAAAAACGACAGAAAATATGAAAGATGTAGAACGACTTGGAAAAATGGGCAGGGAAAGAAGATCCTACTGAGCTTGACTCTAGTCTGACTCTGTGAATGACGTGAGAGCTGCAGGGTAAGTGGTGCGAGGATTTGGATCCTCGGCAAGCCAAAGGGGCCCCTTATACAAGTGAGCCCGCCCTAAGTGAAGGCGGGCCTAACAAATCACAAGAGGCCCAATGCTGTCAATTTCGTGTTTGGGGTTCGGGCAGTTGTGCCACGCCAGTTGGTTGAGGGAACCCAGGTCCCGAGCAGCAAAGACTTTCCACGGCCTTCTGGACCTTTTCTGAAAGGCAGGCCCTGGGCCACATACGCAGCAATATGCACAGATGGTTGCGCCTCGGCCTTCTGGGCCCTTTCTGAAAGGCAGGCCCTGGGCCACATTCGCAGCAATATACACAGATAGTTGGGAGGCGCCTCGGCCTTCTGGGCCCTTTCTGAAAGGCAGGCCCTGGGCCACATTCGCAGCAATATACACAGATAGTTGGGAGGCGCAACTGGCCGAGGCCCAGAAGCAGCTACAGAGGCCCAACTATCTTGAGCCTACCGGAAGTTTCAGGGCGCAGGCCCAGCCCAGCCAGGCCGCAGGCCAGGCTAGACTCTTTCCATATAGGAAAGAGCTCGTTGCGTGGCAATTCATTCATGCACTTGCCAGTTTGCAGCAGCGCTGCTGGAGCTGACGCTCGCGGGCTGCTGCTAGGGCTGGGGCAAGGTGGTGTGCACGTGCGGTCGTAAGGGAAGAAGGGCGCCACTGAGGGCAGCACCATAGCCCAGTTTCCATACGCAACATCTTCATTACTTCGGTGGCTGCTGACGTCATTAGTTGCATTGTCAATTCATAGGCAGATAGTAGTTGTGTGGGGAGTAGTCTGGGCGCCGAGCGCCAAGTAGGGGGAAGGGCCTGGACTCTTATGTTGGTGATGACCAGAGTAAGCTCTCATTGACATATGGTTTCAGTGTTTCGATTCTCCTTTGGTGTAACATTGGTGCAATGCTGCTTTCTGGGCACTGTGAGACTTTCTGGCCTTCAGTGTGATCGTGTAATCTGGATTCTGTCGTCTCACTATTGATCATTTTCCTTGCATTGGGAGCTTTTTTCCCCTTTTTTCTGTTTTTTTATTAATTATTAAACTGATCAGAACAGCTACTACACTTGATCTTAGGCAAAAGGCCGAGAAAGGTATAGGTGGGAGCTTTACAACACAAGTGAAATACCATTACTTGCGCGGGCACGTAGCGTGATTTCCCCCCGTAACCCCCAAACCCCACATCGCCACTTCCCCATTGCCCTCTCTCTCTCTCTCTCTCTCTCTCTCTCTCTCTCTCTCTCTCTCTCTCTCTCTCT